CAGCACTTCTGGGGCTCGAGAAAGTTCGACTAAGTGGGCTGGAATGGTTCCTGCATCATTAGATCTTAAACTGGTTGAGCAAGGAGATCAAAAATGTACGAATCCCACTTCATCTTCCGTGCGCGGGAGTAAGCGTAGAGGGCGTTCGAGACCGGTTTGTGTGGCATTTATAGGTGAAGCCAATCCATCGGATGGCTGCGTCAACCAGCTTCGAGGAGTCAGACCAGCGACTCTGGGCGCCAGGGAGGCAGAATCAGCTGCCGCTTTGGCCACTTCGCTGTCCGACGCACACCAACCAGTTAAAATGGTCCTTTCTGTTGCCCAGGCCTCGGTTGATGCGAACACATCTCTTGACGACCGGATGACACGATCATTTTCGCTTGTAAATCATGGCCCCGAACTAGCCGTCTCTGCACGGTCGCCCAAATTGATCTCTGCCAGTCCCGTGTTGGCGCCGCCTCCTCCGCCACCGTCAACCGTTACTGTTGCCAACTCGCTTGTGAGTGGCACCTCACGACGTTCAGCTCGCTCGGCTTGCCATGATTGCCCCTCTTGCTCTTGTCCAGCATCCTCCAGGTCCAGACATTCCACTCAGGCAGGAAGAGGCTTTGATGCACCATCGGGGACCCGACGCCGCAGGTCGTCTGGACGCCGGCGTGGCGATAAGATCAACCGTGAGCACGATAATCAGTGTCGATTTTTGAAAACTGATGCACCGGCGGTGCTGTCCCGCTCGAAAAGACGGAAACCGTCGTCTTGCTGTAACTCAAGTGACGAAGGTCTCTTTCATGCCCCTAATGACTTCTGCCTATCCATATCAATTTACACCTGATTCCTTTAAAAAAATCTACACCGCATTATTTAATATTTTCCCTTTCCTCTCAATCTCAGGACAGATCTCATGATTTTTCTTATTGAAGAAGTTGGATCTATTTGCAAAAGTTGACTTAATTCAGAAAGCGCGCAGTGATTTCATATACTATCCTAAATGATGTCTCATTCATTTCTTTTAAAGACTGGCAAGAACAAATAGCTTCGTACGCCATCAAATCTATCATTCTTGAGGATTGCAAGTTTATCTTTGAACCTTTAAGCCTAGCTAGGTCTCATGAGACAATGAAGGAAATTTTCCGGCTCTGAAATAGCAACTCCTCATCAGTATATAATGTTGAGTATTCTTCCATTTCTAGATGAAGTGTTTTGTGTAGAGATTAGAAGGTCAATTCCATTAGCTAATTCCTCTCTACCAGCTCTCGAATGGCCGTACTGGAGCCTTCTTGCCGACGCTGTTTCCAAGGCAATCTCATTCGGTTCCATTTAAAGCGTGCTAAGCCTTCGTTCATCTTGTGAAGAATATCTTCAAATCAGGGCGAGTATCCTCTACAACAAAATTCGAATCTCCTCATCAAACACTTTCACTCAAAACGGAAGTGAGCTCAACACCTATGATCCAAAAGATTCCTCGAAACCCAAATTTTCTTATTATTTACTATATAGTGTGCTTCATCTAGAAGGCTCCACTTTTATCTTCCAAATTCGTGGGGTTGTCTTTCTTGGAATGATTCTTTTAGATTATTTCAATCCTCGTGAGCTTTATTCATCATTGCAATAAGCAGATGTTGCAAGCTTTGTTTTGGTCACTAGAGATTTCCTTCAAGGCGTCTCAGTCACTCTGTTTTTCTGTTTCTCTGCGATTCCTATTTTTTCATTATTTATGAGTAACATTTTACCTTACAAATTGGTTACTATTCTAGAATAAGATATCTCTGATGCGTTTATATCTGATTATTTCCTATAATGAAGCCTGATGTCTTAGCAGAGTTTTATTTGACTTATCGATGCTTACCTTTTGTTTTATTCTTCATTTATATTTTCCTATTTCAGGCCTGCGTCAGAAAAAGCAATCAATGATTCGTCACAATCTTCGGAGTGCCAGTTTTCACGCCAATAATCGCTTTCTAGATCACCATACAGATCAGGCAGAGCACCCCGATCTGTCTTTCCACACGTCTTGTTCTCCCCATCGCCATGATCGCCACCATACCTGTCATGAGGAACATCGTCATCGTCGGCGTCAGCTGAGATCATCCCATCGGCACCGCCATCGGCTCCAGCCGGCTCCCACAGCTACCTCTGCAGGTAATGATGGTGGTCTACATTGGCGGGAAGATCTCGAGACTCGTTCCACGGCTACTGCAAGCACTACCACCTACCACCAGCACTTTTATCAACGTCAGCTGTATGCATATCTAGCCACAGGATCAACAGCCACTCCTCCAGATTCAATGGATGCTGGCGGTCAGACACTGGCTGCCGCTGCTACTCCCCTTCTCATGCGGCAGACTCCACCGAGGCCGCCCCCAGCACCTCCGCCGAGCTCTCTGGCCTCAGTTTCCCGATCTCCTGTTTCCTTTGTCTCTTCTTCTCATTCTTCGCCATCTCCCGCTTCTGTCTCGTCTTCTTTATCTTCCTCCTCGTCATCGTCTTCTTCCTCTTCCTCTTCCTCTTCCTCAGGGACAGCCAGGTCATTACATTCGTCTTCCACATCTCCATACTCACCCCCCACATCTCCTTCATCCTCTTCATCTTCCTCTTCATCTCCATCCCAACCTCGCTCTCCCGTTGCATTTCCTCCTGCAAGTCGCTTTCTTGGAGGCAAAATGGCTCCAGCATCAAGCGTTGAAGAACCAGCCATGCCCAAACTGTTCCCTGGTGCTCCAAATCCTCCTGCCACCCAAAGGAATATTGCGACCGACTGTGATCGCAAACAGTTAAAGTCGTCTCGTCCTCTTGTCAATCAACCAGCTTTCCTCCATGAACAGCAACATCAACAGCCATACTCGAATCAGACGAGTCATGTTAACTTAGCACTGCTTAACCCGAATACTCGGTCCAGGTTCCAGTCATATATTACACCTGTCTCTTCCCCTCATTCTCCGAAAAACCAATTACAGGATTGTCGATCAGACGGCTTTGAGGCTTCGACTTACAGAGACATGCCCGCCGACCACGAGGGCATGCCCTCGGCTAGAAATATATCTTTAAACTGTTCGCATCTACCATCTTTCGCACTCCCGCCCTATCTTGTTGCAGACGAAGCGGGGGAGAGCATTCCTCAGCGGAGTATGGAGGCAAATACTAAAGTGGGCGAACAAAAGCACCAGTTAGAGTCCAATTTATCTGACTCTCCATCTCTTGAGCCAGAAGCGAAACAACTCAGGACTCGATCTTTCAAGAATAGTCATCAGCATAAGAGCGTCCAGGAGGATTCTGACTTGGAGGATAGGCGAACTCAGGTAATAAAAAAACTGGTATGGAGGTGCATGAGGAAGAGATTCGAGGATCGATCTCACCCGAAGACAATGATCGATTCTTATTGTACTAAAGCCCCTTGGCTTTAATGCGACCTTCAGTTTAACGCAGTCCACAAGACATTCGTTCGTCACGTGACGAACATCATCAAAGCTGACATTTA